TACTACTACTACGACTGCTGCTGCTGCTGCTGCTGCTGCCACTACTACCACTACTACTACTACTACTACTCCTACTCCTACTCCTACTCCTACTCCTACTCCTACTCCTACTCCTTCTCCTACTCCTACTCCTACTCCTACTCCTACTTACTCCTACTCCTACTCCTACTCCTACTCCTACTCCTACTACTACTACTACTACTACTACTACTACTACTACTACTACTGCAACAACAACTGCAACAACAACAACTACTACTACTACTACTACTACTACTACTGCTACTACTACTGCTACTGCTACTGCTACTGCTACAACTACTGCTGCTGCTGCTGCTGCTGCTGCTGCTGCTGCTGCTGCTGCTGCTGCTGCTACTGCCTGCCACTGCCACTACCACTACGACTACTGCTACTACTACTACTACTACTACTACTACTACTACTACTACTAGACCTCAGTTCTAAAGCCCTCCGAGTGTTCGTGATAAGGCATGCATGAGCGTAGAGTGTCGGAAGGTCACCCTGAGCTAGAGCCGAATAGGTTCGTTTTTTGTCAAGGCAGTTGGGCTGGAACTACGGTGAGTTCGAGGCCCCGTCTGCATCTTGGAAGATTGATCAAACCGCAATGAGGCTAGGAGCAAAATGCCGCAGAAGCAAAATGAAAGGTCACTCAAGTCCCCACAGCCCATGACAGGTCCCAGAGCATGTCTACGCGGCCTTCAAGAAGCAGGCGGATGCTGGCAGCGCCAAGCCGCTCTGATGTTTATAATGTGAACTTGAAGGCTCTTTGAGAAGTTCTGAACGTGGCAGCACTGATCCTGCGCACATCTGCGGCTCCGTCAAGATTCAAGCACACTCTTCCGCAGGCATCAGAGTTGTGGATTCACGGTTTGGGGTTCCGGGTTTCGGGTGCAATGTTCATGACGGTGGCATCCAAGCCAGTTTTGAACGATGCACACTGCCCAGGCAGGCTGAGTGGGACAAGCTCTTTGCTGCCTACAAGGCGCCTCGGTGTCAGTGCTTTAACACCAATGTAGTCTGCAGTCTTATGGTTTCCAGCAGAAGCTTCCCTTCTTAAGGCTTAAGGAGCTTCCAAGTCCCAAGAGTCTGTGCTTCTCGAGGGCACGTAAAGCCGATGGTTCTGAGCAAGCTTGCCTTGATCAATGCCAAAGGACAAAATGTCTAGTGCCCAAACTCACAGACAAAACCCAAAACCTTGGTTTCAAGAGTTCCACGCACCATGTCTCACCTTCATCACAATCCCTTGACCTACACAAACGGCAAGTAGAACACTCACGATCGCAAAACCCACGCGAGGCTCCGCAACGCTAAACCTGTCGAAATCGGCCGATCCTTCTGCAGCACTTGAGAAGTTGAGAGGTAAAGCAACACTAACATCTTGTAGAAACATAGACAGATCTCTGAACCCTTCAAACGTAAACCCCGCTCGGGCATCCGAAAGAAGAGCTCCAAGATCTGAGCCCACAACCCCGCCTGAAAGACCCCTGCAAGGCCCTAGGCCCGACAGTGGTCTGCCTGAAAGCCAAGAGGGCAAAGCCTTCAAACACCCCCCGCAGATTCACACAGCTGATGTCCTTAGGAGAAGGAGCCGGAGCTGGCTGCGCAGTTCGAGCGAGCGGTGCCAGATGCGAGAAATAATTGAAATAATAGTAATAATGAATAATAATAATTAATAATAATAATAATTTAATAATAAATAAGAGAGTTTAAGGGGGGAGGTTGTAAAAGGCTGGTGTGCAGGGGAGTCTCGTAGGGTTTCAGCAGGGTTTTTCGTGCAGTTTTTGTTGATCAGGGTTTATAGGCCTGTAGGGAATGAGGGAGCTAGTGGGTTTTTTGGCATTTCGGTCTGGCGACGTGCAGACTTTAGGGCCCATAGTTCTAGGCTTTTCAGCTTCAGCGTTGGCTTAGGTTTGTAATGTTGTAGGTACGTCACAGTGCAGCATTCTTAGGTTTTTGGTAGCCCGAGAGGTGCATTGCCTCGGCTATCCATCCATAAAAGCCTGCACTCGGAGTTCAAGAGCTGGGCATGCTGGAACTCGTGCGCAGTTTCAGCCTTCAGATTGTTCGGATGTGCTTTGAGCATGAACTCGGCTAAGGAGTGTGAGCATCCCCAAGTTTGTCAAACAAGGTCGAAGGCAGATGATGGCTTGACTTGTTTATGGCTCCACACTAGCAAGACACAAACGCCGCCATCACCAGAGCACCAACTAAACAACAAAATGCAGACAGCTGCATCAGTGGACGCGGCAGCAAGAGCACATGCAGTGGCAACAAAGAATTCGTGCTGAGGGACCTCGGTCTGTGCAAGGTGCTCAACAGGAAGCTCCCGGACAACTGGGACGAGTGCCTCCCCAAGCTGACTGAGGAGGACGCTGGCAAGGCGGGGACCACTGAACAGAGACGACGAGCATCTTCGGTGGCTTCGGATCGACGCTCTGTAATGAGATTCGGGAGACGAACACCCGGAAAGCCTTAGCTTTGGCACTACGGTTCAGCGGAGCCCTGTCGGAAACTCATAAGCAGCTGCTACTCACCTACGAAGAAGGTACCACCAGAATCATAACGAATGCCAGCCATAGCAAGGCTGACACTAGCAGTCGTAACATCATATATGTGGACACGCAAGTCATGTCATCTTTAGGATCTCTTTGCCGTCTTTAGCAGTTGCATTTTCGATCGGCTACCAAAGCAGAAAACTCTACTATTTCTCGTCCCAGAAGCTGGTGCTTGTGGGAAAAGTTGCCCAGACCTGAAAGGGCCTAGCCAATCCCGCTGCAGCGCCACACTGCCACATCTCAGAACAACGCCCAAGGATAATGTCTTTCCAGGAAATACTGTGTGCAGCGAGGTGAGACGACCGTGTCCTTTTTGTAATGCTTCGTTTTGCGGCAACTGTTCGAGTAGGATAGTATGTGATTCTTGACAGATGCACACTGTGTATCCAGCTTCACGTAGGCTTGCATCGGCAAGTGCGATTTTCAATCGAACATGCTTCACCTCCTCGCTCCTGGACAGTCCTTCGATCCTTGAATTCAAGCGAATTAACTCTCGCCAGGCCACCCGATTGCACTCGCAGGACCGGCGGATCTTAAGTGGCGGTATTTCAGATTAGCAGGATAGGCAGGGGCACCACGTTCAGGTGGGGATATGAGTACCGTCCTGGCGTTCCGCAGCTTGTCCATGAGATGATAAGGAGAGCAATGGAGAGCACATGCAGGATTTGACCTCGGGTCTGGCATTTAGGATTGATCCTGGCCGTCTGACCGAAGCATGCATGAGTGTCATTGGTGGTGCTTCAAAGTTATCAGGACTGCCTCAACGCCATCGCCCCAGTCCTGCCGGAATTCATGGGCGGCTCTGCCGACTTGGCACCATCCAACATGACACTGATGACGCTTGGTGGACTTGAGGTTTCCATGTTCGCTATACCCTGAAACGTGAATCCCGCCTTGTCTTCTACTTGGGACCTCAGTCTCCGTCGCGCATCTCTGTAGAGTTGGGAGTGCGCCTTTTCGCAGATCTCACCATGTTGTAGGGCTGGCATCGCTTTCATCATCAAGAGCTTCTCTAGTTACTCCAGTTGCCTTGCAGATTGTGGGGCAAAGGACCCGTAGCATTCAAGAGCTGAGGCCTCCACGTTCACGGGTTCACAACATGGTCTCAGGGCTCAGGTCTGGTCTGAACATGTTCAGGTTTTCGTGTTTCCGTCTGGGAATGTCTGGGATGAACACAAGGAAGTGCACTGGCGACTTCTTGAAGGACAGCTACTCCGAGAGGCTGGGAAATCCCGAAGAACTTGGGTGGGTATACGTGGGCATGACGGCGGTGAATGCTTCTTGCGCAGCGCCCTTGCCAAGATCTACAGAGGAGCTCGCAAGCCAAGCCCAAGCTGCGCCTGGCAGGAATTTCCGCTTCGGCATCCGAGAGTTCGGCATGGGAGCTGTGTGCAATGCCCTGTCTCTGGACAAGACAGGCAGAACACCGATGCGGGCTTGAGTCATTGAGGGCCTTACATGAAGGGTCGCAAGATGACGAGATGCCCTTCCAGATCTTGGCTGAGGGCATTCACGCCTATCGTCCTTTCCCACTGCACACCACAGGTGCCGATATAAGCTTCAGCAAAGCTGGTGCTGGGGCGAAAGAGTTTTAGGGAACCCCAAGCTGCCGGAGCATGTGGCTGCCTTTGATTAACCAAATTGCTGGGTGGCTTTCTGTAGGTACCTATGTCAGCCCGATGAGACAAAGTGCGCATGTATGGAAGCCTCTTGCTATGGAGCCAATGCCGAAAGTTGAACAGCCGCCAGCCTGGAGGACCAATCGACGAGTGCAGTTTCGACAGTTGGGGATGTACTGGAGTCCTAGAGGGAAGTTGTTCCCCAGCTAAAGATAACAGTCGTTGTCTCATCTCACCAGACAGGCGTTGGTTTCCAACTGCCTCAGCTGCATTACCTTTCAGCCGCCGGCTATTGAAAGCCCACCTGCTGCCAAATCCAACTGCTCGTAAAGCTGAGCTTCGATTCCTGACAAGCATTGAGCACGCTAGCGAGCACGGTCTTGTTCCCAGGCTGTCGCCCCTGAGCTTAGAGGCAAAAGTCAGAGTCGATTGCAGGCATCATCCCCTACTGCGCCACCTTCACCATCTTTACGGACTACATGCGCGGCGCTATCCGTCCGCCTGCTGCCTTTATGACGCTGCCATCTAGGGGCTACTCTGGGTTGCTGTTTCGAAGACCTTTGTACTGGGCTGGTACACATTCGGGTGCGGTGGAAATGTCTGTGGAACAACATAGATGTTGCGATTTGGCCGTTTATTCCGATTCGAGATATTGGCAGACATGATACCCCCCTATAATCCTTAATCGCTACAAAAGTGCAAGTCTACACCGCGAACCTCAGTTACAGCCATCGCCTGGCTCTGCTGAGGTATCGCCGCACTGTCCCAGGCAGGCACCATCTTCGTGACCACCCACGACTCCATTGCGGTAGGCGGGGGCTATCGGATGCTGTTTGAAGCTTGTGGTCTGGTCAAGTCTGCTTCTGGTCGTGGACAGACCGTTTTCATGACTGTGGGACTTCGGGGGTGTTTAGCATTAAGATCTTGGTGTCTTAACACTGCAACCCCCCAAAGCCCTTGCAAGGCATCGCCAGCATCAACTAGGAAAGCCAGAAGATGCGAATGAAGCCAGACGGTACCTGAAATCGATACTGTTGCAATCGACATGGCTCGACATTTCGCGAATCCCAAACCCACCAAAGCCTTGCACCTTGAAGCCATGCGTGCTTAAGGTGAGGATGGCCCTACCCATCAGCCCATTGAGACGCTCCCTTCTTTGCACTTTGGCCGATGTGAAACAATGGGATAAGTTGGATATTTGGGGGCTCTCAAGTTTTAGGTTTAGTTTTGATGTTTTACTTTGCGGTGTCCAGGTACGGGTTGTCTTGTCCATCTGAGGAGGATGCAAGGGCAAGGGTTTCGAGCACGGTTTGGGTCTTGTGCTTCAAGGCTCTTTGATTCGTTTCAGTTTGGTTTGCAAGATCTCGATAGTTGGACTTAACCGGGCAACTGCTGCGAAGTTCATGCAAGTACTACTTAAGAGGAGTCGCTGGTCCGTTGCTTGGGGCTTTGGGTTCCATTGGTCGCGGGTCCGAACTCATAGTCTTCCGGTCAGGTGCTGGGAGGTCGCAACATTAGCTGCGACAGGGCCCCCACCGACACTTCACACATATCCAACGCTTTCAGCACTAAGCCATAGTTGTCAGATCCCAAGCAGAACACCCGATCTTGAAACGGTTAGAAGCCTGGGGTGCAAGACTATCGTTTTAAGTTGCATACTCCAGCAACTTGATCTCGAGTCCCTCATGTCTCGCGCTGCACCCAAAGCAGCTACGCCTGACACATCTTGGCGTTCGTCGAAACACTGCCTGAGTGGCCCTTCTGATTGTAACATTGACTTAAGGTGTAGTCGGAGGACTCTCTGGTTCCTCCGAGTTTCGTCATTTAAGAAAGCTGTGACAGGTAGGACATCTTCTGGTTGTTGTCAGATTGAGCGAAAGCTGAAGTCTTGGCAGGGAATACTGCTTCGGAGACCGCCTTTTCAACTGAACTTGGCGATTCAATCGGATCCGTCACTTTGCGTTCGTGGATGTCCTCAGTTTCTAGTATTCAGAATCAGTGTTTCGCACTGCATCAAACCCAACGACCAGTGACCCACGCCTTCCAGCCTGTAACTGTACTACACCGCAGGAGGAACCCAAAGAAATGTGTCATAGTCGGAATGTCCGTGCTAGGCGCTTGATCCCGGACCTGACCGCCAGGGCTTCAGACTTCCAAAGCGCTTGCAAAATGCACGAAACACCGCCAGTCAAAGTGTGGGTGTGTTCTCGCTGATTGCGGAGCTTACGGAGAACACGGCCCGAGTGATGTTGTCTTGTAAGACTGCACTGCAAAACTGAACGGTGTCATGACAATGACAAGGTCGTTTGCAGGAGAGCTTCTGGGAGACATGCCACATGCAACTTTTTCTCAACCGACGCTCCCTACACCTGGGAATCGTTTCTGTTGAACTACGTGGCGTTATTGTTTTCTATCAAGATAATGCATCACACTCCACACAACATGTATTTTGCAGTCACATATATCTCTGACTGCATTGCAGTGCATGCACTACCTGTACACTTCACATGTGACTGTCTGCCGCAGCCCTCAACTGCACCTTTCTCCCGCATGCCACAACAGCCGAAGTGTTGTAGTGGCAGACGTCATCACCTGCAATTCCACAACACGAGAGCTCCTGGACTTCCAACACCCGAACGAGCCTGCTGAGGTCATGCGACCAGCTGACGGCAACGAGACTGCCGGTGCCTACAAGTCATCGCCTCGGCAGGGGCACGTCTCATGAATCGACAGTGCATGCAGTACAGAAGGTGAAAGCATGCTTGCATCACAAGACACTATAGCATCATAGTGGAAACATGAGACAATGCAGAGCATTCAGGCAACTGTGCGATGACATTTAAATTTGGGCATCTGACCGAGACTCAAAGGCACCCAGCCTGCCAAGGTATGCGGTCGAGCGCTCCAAGAACGAGTCCCGACCAACCATGATGGCCTTCTCCCGCCAGGCAGCACAGAAAGCCATTGGGGTCTTGGGAAGATCCACGAGTCGTAGTGAGGTGTGAAGAGGCTCATGACGACCTGTCTCCACCTGCAACCAGCCTGTAACCCTCACACAGACTGCCCATGCACACGTGAAGTAAACAGGCAATTGAAGCTTCCGCTTGCAGCAGGCGCTGCCGAACCTTCCGAACTCGTCCATCGAGAACACCCTGAAAGGCCAGGGCCTTCTGAGCCTTGCAGTGGCTGGAAACTGCCGCATAAATCTCGACTGATCTAAGCCTGCACTCTCCACACCTCGAGCCCTCGTCAAGGTGTGTACGTACTGGACCCTCCCCGGCACACTGAACTCATTGTAGTTCAGGGCCGGTTTTGGGTATGTTGGTCCAAGATAGTCTTGAAGGCTTTACTTAGGGTAGCTGGGAAATCTGCCCTGCGCAATCATACAAACTTTCACCTTGCGAAAGCCGACAAGCCGATGGCTTTTGGCCACTTGTTCCAAAGAGCACCAGCCCAGCAACCCTGGGTTGCACACTCCCTGCTGAACCGGGTGTGCTAAATTACAGCCAAGCACAAGGTTCCATCATATGGATTGCGGCATGGCAACATAGTATATACAGAGAAGTGTGATCGATGGCAATACATGTCCTGCTTGAAGCCTACCAAAGACAGAACTTTTTGTGGGGTCAATAAATGGAACCGCCCTCAGTAAGAGCCAGTGCACTATGCCGTACTGCTGCAGGATATGCATATATTTTTTCTGAAATCAAACAACACCAAGTTCCCAAGGATCGATCATGCATATGCCACCTGAGCCACCTTAAAGTTATGCACCGCAGAGCTCCAGAGACCTGGTGCCCAGGTGCCTACGAGGTCGTCGAGTGCTCCGACCCAGAGGTGGGAACCTCGCGACAACGCACACAATGCGATCATGTGGCACAGAATCCCTGGCCTGAGCGCCGAACCTCATGTCAATGTATAAATTCATGTGAAGGCCGTCTAGAGACTCCAACGAAATCCCCTCCCCCCTTTTGGGACGCTCTCTTCAGGTGATCATCATTGGCACCGGCTCTGAGGCCTTCTGATCCCGAAGGGGGCGGTGCAGGGTTCGAGTGAGCTTGAGCCTTTGAGTGTACGGGGTGTAGGCTTCGGGCTGAAAACAGCCGGGAGTCCGTGGTCGTTGGCGATCGATGCCTCGGCTCTTCCTTTCTGGTGTGGGCTGATGCATAGGCATAGCGCTTCCTACACCCGAATCCTGGAACCTTGGGTTTCTAAAGCCCTGGACCAACCCGAAACGCCTTTTCTGGCCAAAGAAGATTATAGAACTTCAGGTGCACATTTGCGTCGATGCCGCCAAGGCCATGGACCAAAAGGTGGCTAGGACAGCACTTTCCTCGAGGTTTGCGGATCTAGGGCGCTTTTGATTCTGCGACACAACGTGACATGAGCCTCATCACCATCAGTATCGCCATGAACGGCAACGGGGCTTTCAAGGTTTAGACTGCGGTTGGTTTGAGGTACGACGCTCTGTGTTCAGCTTAGGCTTGGGGATCAATCTCTGCACGAGGGACGCCGGTATCTCAAAACAACCGAAACCCAGAAGCCCCCCCGTGCGGAGGCAAGAGTCATCTCCCATTTACTCCAACCCCCTTATCGCTTACAGGCATGGCTGGCGGCCACAGTTTAGACCTTGTTGGTTCACGGCCCGCACTGTTTGGAATGGTGGGTGTGACATGTCGCAAAATATCCCTGATCACCGTCAGTCTTCAAGACGAAGCTTGAAAGACCCTGAAACTGATACCGCTTAGTGCCAACAACATCCCAGGTCAGGGTCGTGTCCATGCCTTCTGTGGAAGTCTTCCGCGCGCAGCCAGACAGCTACAAGGAGAGCTTTTGACCGAAGCTAGACCGGCATTACTCGCCATGGAGTCCTCCTTGTTTCAAGACCTACTAACGACCCAGAATTGGCCTCGTACAGCTTCCCGTGGCAACAAGCACGAGCTCGCAGCTTCCGTAGCTGGGGCTCAAATGAAAAAAAGTGAACGCAGACTGGAGTCTGTAGGTGTTGGGGATTGCAAACACTGCAATATGCTTTCTGAGCTTTTTGTGTTGCAAAACAACACGCGGGCCTGGCAACATTGTCGCCACCTTCTGTGGTCTTGCCCCGGTTTGATCGACTGTCAGTTTGACTGGCATGGCTCAGGCTTGTCTTGGGAGCTTGGGGCTCCGCAGCCCTTAAACCAATCGACAGCACAAGTATGGCAAGCATGCCTCTCTGCGAAGAGGAGTCCTTGCTGCCCAAGGGCGTCCCAACGCTGAGCGTGGAGGTGAGATGACAGAAGCTTGAGAGCCCTAAACCCGAGGTGCATCCTCCATGAGCCTTACGATTGAGAGGAAGAGTGGTAGTACTTGTTGTCGTTACAGTTGCAGTTGTAGTTGTAGTTGTTCTGGTCGGTCGTCGGTGTGGTCGCAGTCGCAGTCGTCGTGGTCGTGGTGGTAGTGGTAGCGGTAGCGGTAGCGGTAGCGGTAGCAGTAGCAGTAGCAGTAGCAGTAGCAGCAGCAGTAGTAGTAGTAGCAACAGCAGCAGGACTAGTAGCAGTAGTAGTAGTAGTAGTTGTTGTTGTTGTTGTTGTAGTAGTAGTAGTAAAAGTAGTAAAAGTAGTAATAATTGTAGCAGGAGCAGCAGTAGCGCGAGGTGGAGTGGTAGCGGGTCATGATGGCAGTGGTGGTAGCAATAGCAGCCGCAGTCTCTGCAAAGTGATTGAATATGACGCGCTGCCAGCCTTTCCACGAGCACCTGCAAGAACTTACAGCTTATTCTTGGCCTGCGGAGACACCTACTGAACAGCAAGTGGGCATCCAAGACTTGCCACGGCAAACAGCACCACCGACAAGAGCTTCGCACCCAATGCCTCGGAGGCGGCCTGCACTTCCGGCTGGGGCGAGTTCTCCACTGCGCAGGCATGACACCCTGCTGAAGACCGTAAAAACGGTTGGACGGCCGCATGACATGCAAGGTTAGGCTTTCGTTTGCCTTCATTTCATAGAATCATCTTCGAAGCTTCGCCTGGCTGCGTTCTGTCGTGGCACTTCGAAAGTCGAAGTAGCGCTGCGCAGGAGCCAAGAGCACACAAATCACTTCGCTAGTCGTAGTGAAGTATTTTCTCATACTCCTTATGTTCGGAAGGTTGGCATCAACGTCTTCGGCGCTTCAGCACCGGGTGGCACCTGCCTGGAGAAGTTCGGCTTCTCTGCACTTGGGCGAATGCCTATGGTTTCGCCGATTCACGTTTAGCATCGAGTTCTGGGCTACTCCACTTCGAAGGGCCTGAAACCTGTACCTGCATCTAGGGTACAGATTCCCTTTGCACATCGCATTCCAGCAGGAGTGCGGCTGATGCACGATACCATGATCTTGCTTCCTGCCTTGGGCCTTTGAATCCAGTCGTTATTCAAAGCAAGACGTAGGCTGGATGGAAGCCCAGAAATCAAACTTTGTGATAGGTGTCTTGACCGCCTTGTCTAGGGCCCCTAAACCTAAAGCCTGAATTCCAAAGCTGTTTAGTCACCCAAGCAACCCAGGCAGACAACGTGAAGGCATGTGCAGAGAAGCGGGGCTCTAAGAGTGCAGAACCAGCATGTCGATTCCTGCGAGCCTTGCATTGAGCATATTAAGCTACAGGTAGCATGGAGATTTAGACACAACTTTTGGGGCCATGAATCTTCGGACATAAGCGGGACGAAGATTTCGAATCAGGATTGGGGATTGCACAGGGCTTGAGCTGGATGCTTGTGAAAATCTCAGTGGGCAGTTGTGATTTCTCGTGCTGTGTCATGAAAACCGACATCTACTCAGCTCAAGAGCCATGCGAATGACACTTGGAGCTCACACTCTCCTTCAAGCCAAGAGTCGTTGGCACTGCTCCAGCTACTACTACTACTACT